CTGGTTTATGACTGGCAAATCAAGGAATGGCAATGTTTATTAAATATTTTAATTTGAGACGATTTAATAAAGACAGCATAGATATTGTATGTGGTAGGAGTAGAATCAGTAGCTGATTTTCTTTTGTATGACTTGAGAATAACGGATTCGAATTAGATGTAATCATAATGTACTACTCTATAATTACCAATTAAATTGGTTAGTTAAAATTTTTTGAAGGGTATTTAAGATTAAATCTCGCTTATACTATAAATTTATTTAAACCAAAAGTCAATGATCCACGCACCAATTCTTCTTTAGACAACCATAGGCCAATATAGGACGAGTACATGTAGTTCATTAATAATACTATTTTCGTTTTAATTTATTTGACCCATATTTTTATTTATATTTGGTGTGCCCTAATTTTTTTTCCTTTTCCTAATTAAGAAATTTGTTATTTCATATTTATCATTATTTTCTTGAATTTAACATCAATCGCTAGCCAAAATTTTTTCTCTTGTACAAATTATTATAGGCAAATAAATTGAAATAAAAGAGTACTTGAATATGATACTTGGACCAACTCAACTATATACGTAGTAGAAGAAAAGATTGGCTACCAAACTCATTGGCATAATCTCAAACAGCGTACAAAGTTGGCTCTATTACATGTGGATCAGATTGTGATCTATATCCAGATAGGAATAAACTAAAATATGTTATCTTTAGACCAATAATACAGTTCATAATTTAAAATTATACTATATATTATAAGCTCATCACATAAACAAAAGCTCAATCATTGTATACATGATCAAATCTACTAGTTTATCCACAGTTATTTTGAGGAAACATAAAATTGACACATTCATGACAATATGACATGCATCTTATAAAGTTCCATATTACACAGAAAGCAAAACTTATTAATCATTAAAATAAATAAATGCGGTAAATAAAAAAGACATTGATATCTCCCTTTTGAACCCTATTAGACCTCAAGTTCTAGATCACATGATAACCATTCTCACGTATAGGAGGGGCCACCCCTAATTCCATGAGCCCAAGGCCCAAGCTGTTCCTTGCCTAACTTTATGTACAAATGATAAATTGTTCGAAAATTTGATGCCAATAAATTTAGGGGAAATGTAAGTGTAAAACCCTCTGTACTCCCTTTGTATATTATCACTTGCTCCTTTTTTCTCTTGCAACCGTATTTTATTACTTGCTTCATTATTTTTGGAAATCTTTCATAATATTTTACTAATCTCTCTCATAGTGGAATCTCCCACTATCATATTTTAATATTTCCATATTCTCTTTCCTCCCAACTACGAGTATCATACATTATTCTTCCACCAGTCTCACTTCCTTCATATTTAATCACTTTATATTATTTCTTCTAAAACTCCGCGCATGGAGAAATTGAGCAAGTAATAAAATACGGAGGGAGTATTATTATAAGACCATAGTTGCGAGTCACTGACCCTATCCCAGTTGTTCATTTGTCAAAGGTGGTCTTATAATGATAGGCTATTTGATTTAAAATTGATTCGAAACAAATTGTATATTCTACAAGATTACAACCCTACAAGGTTTCAATTCCTATGTAATTTTCCTACAACCAATGAACCAAACAAACACCCGATTGTATGTGCCTTGACAAAGAATGAATCCAATTATCAACCTACTAAAATGATATACGATGTATTAAGAGTTGGTTTGTCTAATAGGGCGCATGTTTTTGTTTAAAAAAACACGGAGTAAATATGTTAGTGCAAACATCAAGCTTTTTTTTTTTTTTTTTTTTTTTTTTAAGGAAAAGATCAATAAAATGAATTTTATTTTACTACGGATAAGTTATAAAAAAATCTACTCTGAATTAACAACAGTTTTGCAGGTTTTATTCTAATGATACACGTTAAAAATCCCCATTTAATTCTTTACGTGACAATGGCATGTATTATTTGGCAATGAAGTTGGTAGTCGAAAATTTTGTTGTTTATTTCGTAGTTGCGTTTATTAGATTTTTCCTTATTCATAAAATCAATAGACATAAAATAAATCCAGAATTCAAAATCAAATAAACACAATACTATAATAAAGCAACACAAAAAAAGTACCCAAAAACAAAAAAACCACAAACAAAAATTACTCCACACTAGCAACAGGAGTAATACGTGGAACAACATAATCAACGGCTATAAATTCATCATCAGAAACCTTAAACTTCTCAATCAACGATCTCATTTGATCTTCATACTCTTCACCACCGTCCAATTCAATCAAATCAGGGAACACAACAAGTGCCGCCACACTGAATCCTTTCCCACGATCAGAAAAATTCTCCCCAAAACTTATTTGCACAAAAGGGTCTAAACTTTCCTTAATTTTCTTCATACCCTCCAAAATCTTTTCCTTTTCATCTTCACCCTCAACCTTCAGGAAAGTGAACCTCATAGCAGAACCGGGCCTTGGGACAGTTGGGCCCAAAAGATTGACGGCCCAATCGATGGCAAAAACGTCGTCGCAAATGGGTTTGACGAAGGAGTTGACGACAGACACGTGTTGGTCGGAGAGAGAGTAGGTTTCGAGGTCCGCACGAGTGGGGTAACGAGCGTGAAGCATGTGAGTGAATTTGAGGGAAGAAGGGAGGGATCGAGTACGGAGGATTGGACCAGCGGTAAGGTAGACCACTGAATCGAGTGAGTTTAAGCCGTTCAGACCGTTGACCATTGCATTGACTTTTGATGGATCTTGATCATCTTCGTCTTTGATGTTGAAGAGTACCACGTGTTCGATGATCTCGCTTTCTGATGAAGGAGAATTTGCCATGGTTTTTTTTTTGGGGGGGAGGGGGGTTAGAGAGAGAAAGAGGAGAGAGAATGAAGGGTGAAGATGTGAGAGAGTTTTGAGTGGTGGTGTTTGGATGGACAAAGGTTTATTTTTATACTATAGTTTTTATGACATTTTTTTTGGTTTAATTATTTTTTAATGGATGATTTTAGTGAAAAATTGAAAATGGGATATCATATGGGATGGTACGGAGTAGATGCTTTGTAGTTTTGGGGTAGGTTAAGAGACCTTGTTTCATGTGGGAAAAATGGGGATAATACATACGGAGTAGAATGTTAATGCTATCTTGAGATAGTGGGCCACTTAAAGAAAGGGAATATCACGTGTTTTATTACATTATTATACAGAGTATCTTACTTTTAATTAAAAAAAAAAACTATATAGAGTATCTTAAATTTTGTAAGTCGCATTCAGTATATATTAAAAGAGGTTTAAAGTCACAAGACCGTTTAGATGATTAGGATTAAGAAACTACAACCATGGTTTGAACTTTGAATATAACAAGGTTGAAATTTTGTGACTAAAATAATCAAGATTAGAATCCCTATCAAAAGTTTGAAGACACGATGTCAAATTTTCTCAATTACAAGTGACCGCGGGACGTGAGGGTTATAGAGTTATGATCAATTGAATTTAGCTGAATTTAATTATAGAGTTATGATCAAATCCAATGCATATCAAAATTTCATAAATAATGAAGATAAAATATCAATCAATCAAAGCCTTAATCCCATAAGCAGGGTCGGTTACATGAACCAAATTTGATTATTCTGTTTAATCATCCACAAAATCTTCCTCCTCCATCCCTTACGATCCAATGTTTCATCCTCATGCAAATCCATATATTTCATATCTTTCCTAACTCCTTCCAACCAAGTCATTTTCGGTCTCCCTCTCCCTCGTTTAACCCCTCCATGGTCCCACTCTTCCACTATTCGAACCAGTACACCTTTAGGTCTAATTTGTCTGCAATGCCTGCCACACCTACTTTCTTGCGAATAACCTCATTTCTAATTCTATCTCTTAAAGTGTTCCCGCACATCCACCTTAACATGCGCATTTCGGTAACCTCCATCCTTTTAATGTGATCCTTTTTTGAAATCCAACATCACACTGGTCTTATGGCAGTCTTTTTAATGAAGATAAAATATATTACCAAATATTTAAATGATATTATGAAGTAAATTACTTTTTCTATCATGCATTATTTGAATGGATTCAACAAAACAAATGCAGCATTAATTCTGAAATTTTGAACTAACAGTAAAATATATTAACAAAAAGATCACGAGGGTTTATTTACACTTGCTAGAACTCTAACAAACTACAAAGTTGATCTAAAATTTAACCTAATTCCCTAAAATAAAAAGATAGAAAGAAATTTTAATCTCGAATATATCTAAAAACAACAAACTCAAAGAATTACCCAAAAACGAGTTTATTAATAAAGTCAATGCACCCTAGCTTGTCTTTGACATCTCCTTGTTTGTCATTATCGGAATCACAACTTTTTCCAGTAAAACTAACTAAAAGCTTCTTCAACCAGTGATCATGATCCTTCGGTGGCGGGATTGGCATCGGTTTAAGGTAAGCCAAGGCAGCATGTCTATTTAAGGGATTCTTTATCTTCTGAATATCTTCATAACTGGATTTCCGACGTAACTCTTCAAAACTTGGCGGCATTAAGTCACGAAGACTCGTGTACGAGTATTTAACTGGTGATTGCATCTCGTTATTCATGTCTACGCCGATGGTTGTTATTAGGTGTTTTGAGGACATGATGAAGAGAATAATGTAGAATATCTCTGTTGAGTAGATTTTTTTTTTTTAGAGTGGAATAATTTTTTTGGGTGTAAAAAATTATATGGGTATATGTATATATAGTGGGGCTTTGGAGCCTTGGAGGCAATAAGAATTTGAGTAGAATTAGGAATATGGAATTACGGATGAAAAAATATAAAGAACCAAGTTTTTTTTTATTAAAAGATAAATTTAAAGTTTGTTACACAGATAAAATAAAGTGGTTAGTATTATCAAACCGTAACAACTCATATAAAACGTTAATTAAAAAAAAAATTATGTTAATTTTTTTTAAGCCATAATTTTATTTATTTATTTATTTTATCTTGTTAACTTAGGAAAAGGGCTGAAAAATTATCATTATGTTTTCATATATTTGTTGATAATTAAAATTATTAAACACCAATAAATTAGCCAAAATTACTGTTCAAGAAATCTAGTTTACAACTTTACACTCACTAAATTATCCTATTCGTTGTCTTAAAAAAAAAAAATTATTCTATTTGTTTAAGTATCCAAGACTTGGCTTCAAAAAAAAATAACTATCCAAGACTCGTGAGAGTGAGGTATAGCTCGAGTGGTTATAAGTCTTTTTCAATTTCAGGTAATATAAAGATCGATTTTCATTTAAAAAAAAAAAATCCAAAGACCTCGTTCAACTATCCAAATTCCATTCCCTCAACTTTCTCTCTCCTACAGTAACAGTAAACCATGAACTATCTATCCATATGTTCTAATTAGGGTTTACAATTAATATCAATTAACACTATGTAACTATGTAGTTGCTTTTTTTCAGGAAATTACAAGTATTTTGATGAGTTGCTGCTAAAATGACTACTTTATATGGGTTGCTGCTAAATTCTTCCGGTACCAATTTCTTTTACTCTACTATTCACTATTTTTTTTTAATTGAATTGTTGTATTGAAGATATTAATCAAAATTTTCACTGCCTTTTCAATTGATGTAGTTTTGGGTCATAAAAATGGAATCCAATGCTTTCGTTTCGATATCGATTGTCTACTGAAGCCAATTCTAGAGACTTGATTGCTTGTAATTTTGTACCAAAATGGGTAAATAATTGTCTTCTTGTTCTATTGATTTTTTATTTCTAAGCATATTAGTGTTTTGTATAGAATTTCTGAATTGCACATCTTATATATTGGTAGAATTTAAGGTCAGAGATCAATTATTCAAACAAGAGGCAGATTCGACCTCGGTTTTCGATGTCTAGGGGAGGAAGTTATGGATTAAAGTTTGATGATGAGAGTGATGAGGACCCATTTTGGGTGCATTTTTCTAAGGAAACAATCAGGTATTAGGATTAGAAGAATTTGTGTGGAACTTTATTGAGGTTGGGGGAGTAGTAGCTTGTTATTCAACTGAGTGGTTTTTTGTGCTATATTCTTTTCAGGGCTTTGAAGTCTTTGCTTGCTTTCCTTGCTCAACAACCTGGGCAGCTGAAATACATAGAATGGCCGAGTTTTCAGGACACGGTACCGCCTTTGCCTAACTTTTGGATGCATATTTGTTTATGTGTATTGCAATATTCTACTGCTGTTGATTAATGTAAGCCTTTTCCAGGTTGAAATAATTCTTGTCTAAACTTCAAATACTTGTATATGCTTGTTTGTGCTCGTGAAAACATGCTACTAGAGTTCTGATTGGACTTGCGTCCCCTCTCCATAAAAATTGCCTTTATCTCGATGTTTTACAATGGAAACTCTCATTGTATATTGTCTTTGATGATAATTAGACTGATGAAAGCAGAATTGCTTATATGATCTGACTTTAAACAGAAGTCTCTGAATCAGAATACGTAACTGTCAGCTCAATATGTTGATTTGGCTACCTAGATGCTTAGTACCATTTAACATAGTCTAGTGTCTTGTATATATGGAAGTGCATAGATGATGGAGTATCCTGGACATAAAATCTCCTAGATCCTTTGGCTAATCATAGATGAATGTTGTTATGTATACAGAAATTTCCTGCCGCAGTGAAATGATTTAAGCCATGCTGGGATAGAACAAAAACCCAAAGTTTATTTGTGTGTGTGTGTGTGTGTTTTTTTTTTCACAAGTATTGACAAATAAGCGTGAATGGAGGACAAGGAATATTCTCTTTCCAACCTAAGAGCAGATGAAACATGGGAGTAATACAAAGTAATTGCTTGTACCCTTTTGAGTTTTGGTACAAGGTTTATCAGTACATTACTCTGTATTTCATTGATGCTATCAGTGTCATTTTTCATGAAGACATGAGATCTATAGGACACTATCTCATCTTATATTGACTATAAGAATGATCCTGTATAAGTGCCCATATCATTTCAACCCCTTAATGAACACCTTGAAGTGGTTGAATATGTTGATTTGGTTAGAGAGATGTATAATGTCTATAATCTCTCCCAATCGTGATAACTGATTTTTTTAGCTGTCCTTCATTCAAGTCCCATTTAGTGGCACCCTAGATTGTATATCAAAGACCTTTAAGGTTAATGCCTAGTCCTTGTTTGAACTGCTATGGATTGTTCCATGGAAAGCAGTAATTGATGAATATAGAGGATAATATGTCTAATATTTGGCCGTCACTGCCTTGTGTATTTCACTAGGGGGTAGAAAATCTAATATTTTCCTCTTTCTGTTTTTTGTTGCAGCTGCGAACTGCCACCCTCACCCTTGTACTTGTAGCTGGGCTTGTTGTTGCTTTGTCCTCAATTGATGCAGCTCTTTCTTATGTGTTGGCTCTGCTTCTGCGAAAACCTGCATAATGCAAACTGTTTTTGGGCTCGACACTAGCTTAATCACAGAGAAACACTAAACATATCTGTAGCTTTGACACAGATTCATTGCTTGATCACATCATTTCATTTTTGAGAGGCTCATCATGATATATTTAGATTTGTATACAGTGTAGAGTACAGACTAGTCAACTAGGACAAAAGGCTTTGGTAAAAGGAATGATAGAAGTTAAGTCTTGTTTGCCTATTATTTTGATTCGTCATTATTATGCAATTTGGTTTAATATCTTATGGCACATGAAGTGTGTAGCCTGTGTACTGCCCTTAGTACAGAAGTATCATTGAATGATGTGTTAATGTTGTATTACCTTCAAACCAACCTGTATCTTCCAGCCTGTTTTCGGGCCAATTTTGAGATTTTTTTCCAAAATTAAAGTGAATGTGTGGGGTATCCCCTAAGGTCATATAAGTTGATTTGGAATTATAACAAACTTATCAACTTGTCTATAAAGACCCCAAGAATGTGTTTGATTCAACTACAGGGCTATTTCAATATTATGTTACATACATAGGTAGTCATGAATCCTTCATCTTCATTGAATTATCAATTAGTTATACCCAATGCATTATTTATCATAATTATGCTAGTGATGTCATAATTTGCTATGCTATACTACATTGGTATTGTACATTTCAGATCAATTCATTGTTGCAAATTTAAAACGAATACACGCTCTTATGTAAGTAAATGTACATACAATCGTGACCGAATTATAATTCTAAGATGACAATCAACTTGTATAAATATACAAAGATTTTTCAAAGCATTACAACTTTACAAGTTTGCAAGCTTAGAATAGCTTCTGATAGGTAATTTGTAGCTCCATGACCTTTGGGCCATTGTTGTGCACACACTCGTGATGGAAAATGGTTCTTCATACAGTTCTGATGGGATCCTCAGAAGATAAACTTTGCTTCTGTCAAGAGGAAGCAGTCATCCAAAGCGACAGTCTGTCGGGTGAAGCCCGGAGCTTCTGCAGTGAAATCAATAGCACTTTTGTCTTAAGTTTCCTTCTTGTTTGTTTTTTGTTTCTCTGCAGCCTGTTCAGCAAGAAGGGAACAAAAGAAATAAGGAACAATTCAATAATATAACAACTCATGGTAGTCAACATTATGATAGAATTAAAAACCATGCAATAAATCGCAATCATGAAAATAAAATAAAGAAATCTTCAAACAAACACAACATCATCATCAGTAGTCTAGTAATCCGAAGAACCAACAGCCACATAACAGCACTAGCATTAGATAGATAGTAGAGCCACAAAGAGATGCCAAAACATAAGATAAACAGTTTCCACAGTACACCATGGGTTGTTTACTAATAGGAAGTCGTTAGATACATTTTAAAGAAACAAGAACCATGAAGCAAAATGGAGTAGCTATTTTTTTTTTTTTTCTCATGATCCAAAACCTAAAAAGTCAATAGAGCTTTATGCCTAAAAATCAGAGACCTTAAACAAAGGGAGTTCATCAATTTCACACAGCTAAAAGATATGACATTTCATTATTATTCTGTTCTGCTTCTGCACTAAATTGATGCAAAACATAGCTCACAGCATCAACATTCATAAAAAAACTCCAAAACTAAAGACCTATGGAAACAACTTCCGGTAACACTCCCTCAGTCCCTCTGCCTTAACGCTATGTTTGAATATGAAGATTGAGAGGGGAAGGGAGGAGAGGGACGGATACATTTTCCTTATTTGGATAAGAAATAGGACAAGAGAAAGGAAAGGAAATGAAGGAATCCGTATTCCGTTACCCTTCTATAAACCAAATCCCTCCAATGTTAGAGAGATTTGGAGGAAAATTCACTTCCCCCACCCCCCCACCCCCCTTTTCTACCCTCTTTTTCATTTATATCCCTTTCCCTTTGGATTTTCACAGTCCACATGTGCAGGAAACATAGTACCCAGAGGAAATTTTGTTACAACATCATGAGCCAACACCAATCTCCACAGTCAACAACTCAAACTCAAATCTACGGACACTATATTCATTATTGGCAGTGGGTTTTAAATGTCCATAGTCAGCAATCAGCAGAGACACCCAGTATTTGTTTCACTCTCCCTTCCTGTCTCTTGCTCACCAGCTCACCCTCAACTGATCATGACAGAGGAGCTAACACTTTGAGCTCCTCACCCCCTTCTATTTCAGGAGGATGCGATGTTATCCACACAGCAAGTCAGCAATGGATTAGATGTGACATTATCCTCAAATTGCATATCATTTATCTCTCTGGAGGCAGTTAATAGTAGTTTTCTACCATTGTACAGGGTACATATATAACAGATTAACAGATAAAGAGCGCCATAGTAGTTTTCTACCATTGTACAAGTACATATATAACAGATTAACAGATAAAGAGCGCCAACAACAAATTTTTCATAATACCAAAAGCCCTACTTTAGCTTAATTACTTATAAGTGAATGAATTAGCAGGCTAAGCATTTAGCTATTAATCAACTAACCCTACACAATTCCTTTTCCTCTATTCACAATCCTCATACAAACTACAGATAGAGAATAACACTATAACAATCACATTATTACATAAAATAAATAACTAACCTTTCTGAGTTTATCAAGAACTGAATCCTCAAACGCCTGAAATCCAGCCCCAACAACATTCCCCATGGGTGCTTCGTCTCGCTCCACCGGCGCTTGGGCTCTTACAGAAGGCATTGCTTTAGTTGGTTCAAGAGGCAAAACCAGCAATGGATTTGATAGATCCCCAATCATAACTCCAGTAGCAGCAACCTATCAAAACAACCACAAACAATCAATTATTCAAATTCATCACTTAAAACAAAATTTCAATAAAATCCAACACTTAAATCAATCAAAATAAGCAAATTAAACATAAATTTCGATACTTACAGCATCCTCTTTTGATCCCATAACAACAAGTGCAGAAGAACAAGAACTCTTCTTCTTAGAACCCTTAATCACAACATCTTCAACATCTCCAAATTCCTCAAACAATTCCCTCAATCGACTCGCGCTATATTCGGAATCACCCTTCTCCCAACTCACCTTCAACACCTTACTCTTATCCAATGCAACCCCACCAACACCACCCACATTCTCTCTCCTCTCCTCCTTCTCAAAAACTGGTTTCTTCGCCAAACTAGCTTTAATTCTAGCAATTTCCTCAGCCAATTTCTTCATAATAGCCTCCTCTTCATCACGAGCCTTCTTCTCCGGATCAACAAACGATGCCCTTTCTCTCTCCTCCAAATCCGACATCATCCGACGTCGTTTCGCATCGAATTGCTTATCCCGAACCTTCTTCTCTCTCCTAACCCTAAGTAAATCATCGAATTCTTTCCTAGCTTTAGGATCTTTGAGAATTTCGTAAGAAACTCGAAGTTTCTGGAACTTAGCTGGAGCATCTGGGTCGTTGAGATTTTTATCTGGGTGTAATTCAATAGCTTTTTTTCGATATGCTGTGGAAATTTCTTTCTCAGTGAGCTTTGATCCTTCTTCTCCTGTAACTAACCCAAGAACTATGTAATGGTCTATTTCCTCCATTGTTATCTGTAAACCCTAAAAATAAAAAATTTAATTGGGGAAAAGGGATTTAATTTCGATAGTTATATTTGAAGAGAGAGAAAGAATCGCGTTTTACGCGTTAACGCCGACTATGGTTGCGGTTGTGGTTGTGGTTGCGGCTGCGGCGGCTGAAATGCGCGGCGACAGCAGCGGAAGGCAAGCTGCGCACAGAGAGAGCCCAGAAGGAGAAGAACAGGGAATTTGGGAACAGGGAACAGGGAGAAGGAAAGAGGAGAAGTTGTTTCGGTTGTTAAGGTTTGGGGATTTGGGTTTTAGGGTACTTTTGTCATTTCATCTTCAATTTTATTGGTTTTCTTTTTTGCGCCTAAATTTCACGAATAAGGAAGTAACTAGTATAAAACCCGTGCAATTGCACATCTTTAAAAGTTCAAATATTAAGTCTCAACAATTTAAAGTTATAGTTTGTTTAATGCACAATAGTGAAAGACATAATTAACTTAATGTCTACCCATTTATCACAATACTTATTACCATATTTGCAATTTAATGTTTAAGAAAATATACAGAAACAAAGATATTAATAAAGTTTATGCTCTTTATTGATAAATTTGACCTTTTAGACCAAAATGATTTATGTCCATTTACATATCTCATGCAACATCCTTCATGTGTATTTTTGTTTTAAGCAAGCTAATTATAAAAATATACTTTCTCACTCCCATAATGTTGTCATAGAACGTAAAAATCAAGTTTACAATTATATTTTCCATATTGTATATCTTTATCATTAAATAATCAAAATTACTTACACCAATATAAATAAAAGTTACGAATATCTATTTAGGAGCCGTTTGGTTCATGAAATATATGAATGAGGTATAGGTTTCAAATGGTGTAAACTCATACCATGTGTTTGGTTGATAATTATATAAACAACACATATTTTGTGTGGCCGGCTGACATACACCAAATCATTAAACGGGTAACCCTCAACCAATTGAGTAACCCCTGACCAACCTAGTAACCCCTGATCGACCGAGTAACCCCTGAACAATCGAGTAATCCATGACCAAGTAACCCTTGACCAAGTGAGTAACCCATGTCTGACCGAGAAACCCCTAACCGCGTAACTCTTGACCGACCGAGTAACCCTTGAATAATTAACCTCATCCACACGGTGTGGTTAATCACATATGAAACTTTGTGTTAAATAAATTTTATAAATTTTTAACTCATACCTCAATCGCCCAAGGTATGGGGTTTGGAAATCTAAAGGGATAGATGGATTTGACCAAAACCAGTACTTCAAGTACGTATTAAATAAAAGAAGAAAAAACTCATTCCAAAATTGAACCAAACATAACTTTGGTATTAAGAAAAAAATAGTTAACACCTGAGGGTATTTAGGAATTGAACTAAATAGAGGTCCTTAATCTCCATGCTTGCATTCGGGTTGCATATACTTTAGAACTCAAATATATTTTCTCATCGCTTGATAGTAAATAATTATTCATAATACCTATATATCATGAGTTGGGGCAAAAATTGCTATTTCTTGAATGTATTTTGTATCCCATAAATTCTGCAAAATAGAAGAATAACTACTTTCTACAATAGCTTTAACTAAATTAGATGCTTTCAAAATTGTTCTTTCATTAGGGATTATTATTATTATTCTTCCTTCACCGTAATTTGGCTCTCCTTAACTTACCATCTCCAACTAAAAATACTTTTATATATCTATGAATTTTCTTCCAATGGTAAAGCGACGGTAAGTAACTAGCTACTATGAATGTACCCCAAACCATATTAAAATAATGTCATTTTATTTTTAAGATTCAAGTCCTAACCATCCAATTATGAAAAGATAATTTATTATATTCATTGGTAATAATAATACTATTATCATAAATATAGATATACTCATATACTGTAACAAATGCGTTAATATACTACCTCCGTTTTTTGTTATTTGCAACAACCGTACCTTTCACGGAGGCCAAGGCAAAAGTTTTTAAGCATGATTATTAAAATATAAGGGCATGTCCTTAAACACTAATCCAATTAAAAAAAAACAAAAATTTACCAGAACTACTAAAACCCAGAATCACCACCACCGAACCCACCGTAAACCACCACCACCACCACCACTGAACCCACCGTAAACCACCACCACCGGACCGTACGTAAACCACCACGAATCAGATCTGAACCCCTACAACCACCCTACGAACCAGCCACCACCACGAACCCAACCCACGCCAGCCCTACTAAACCAAACCCAAACCAGACCCACCCAACCACCACCACGAACCAGACCCACGCACCCCCACGAAACCAGATCCACCCAGCTGCCACCACGAACCAGACCCACGCACCTCCACGAAACCAGATCCACCCAGCCACTACCACGAACCAGACCCACGCCACCCCACGAACCAGACGAACTCAGCCACCACCACGAACCAGACCCACGCTACCCCACGAAACCAAACCCACACAACCACCACCACGAACCAGACCCACGCCACCCCACGAAACCAAACCCACAAACCAGACGTACCCAGCCACCACCACGAAACCAGCCATGCCACCCCCACGAAACTCACGCCATTGATTTTCCATTGCCATTGAAAGATGTGGTGAAGAAGAAGAAGAAAATGAAGAGGAGAGAGAAAATTGAAGGAGGAAGAAAATTGGGGAAAACCAGAGAAAGTGGGAAGATGAATGATTTTTGGTGAAAATGATTACAATAATTAGATTTATTAGGTAAAAAGTTAAATTAGGTTAGTGATTTAATTAGATGTCTAAGTTGTTTAAGTAAGGGTAATATGGGCATTTTGTTGGCAAAAAGTTACTAAAAAGGGAAATAAAAAAGTTTGTTGCAAATGATAGGAAGCGCCCAATTTTAGTAAATGTTGCAAATAATAATAAACGGAGGTAGTATTTAATTTATTGAATCTCAATTTATTATTAATAATATCATATTGTTATCATAAATTATTAATAATTACATTAAAACAAAATTGTTTACTAAGTGTATCATATATGTCTGATATAAATAATGTTTTGCAGCATGAATTTCAGCCTTAAAAGATCAATTTTTTGGTATATATTACCATAATCTTGGAATATCTTATTGACAAAATATTTTGGCAGTCATTTATGGCTAACAAAAAAGTATTGAAATTTCATTAGTTATTTAATTTATCATTATCCATTAATAATATGATATTTATAAAATAAAGTCTTTTATTTAAGGCTAGGGTGGGGGAAAAAGCGAATTATTTTTAACGTTAAGTCAGTAACTGTTAGTTTGGTTTTAAATGCTTGTTTTTTTTTTTTTGTATAGTATAGACTATTATAATTCTTATATTATGAAATTCCACGTGTTAAAAGGTTTAGACATACTCATATTTTAATAGTCTGAATAAATACTTTGTCAAAAAGATAATACAAATTATTTGATGTATGATATTATAAGCAATTATAATCAGAGATTATATCCGTGATTTCATATGTGTAATTATATTAAGGAAGTAGGTATATTATGGTAACTTGTAAATAATAAGTAGTATAAAATATTTATATTATTTTATCAGATAAAATCTTGATTTAGTTGATATATTTAGGCAAGAAAATAAGGAGGGAAATTTTTTAACCATAGAGCGACACGTGTCAAAGTACAGTTTGAGTGCCCTACGTTTTAGTGTATATATATAGATAGATAGATAGATAGATAGATGTAGACGAGATTTGATTTAAGATTCAAATCATAACTTAGTCAGTTCACAATCTATTTTGTTTTCATTTTTCTTTTCATAAATGTTATATTGTACTAGTATATTTGAATAAATTTTCATTCTATTTGTAACTATAAAAAAAACAAAAATAATGATACTGAACGGACTAAACTTGTGAAGATTAATAATTTTCTAAAGTTGTGATTGTTGTGAAGATTCTCATTCTCATGGAATGTTTAGTTAAATTTTTTTTATGATCAATCAAACACCACTATGCAATTTCTAAGAAATGCAATTAGATGTGAAATAAAACTATTTCTTGAAATAATCCAAGCAAGCTCTAAGATGATAGTAATAAATTGAGGTAAGTTTTAGGTATGATGCCAGATGAGAATGTCAATGGAAAGTTGGTAGCGTAAATGTGTAATCTCCATTTACATAAGCAAATTTTTTCATATATTTTTTTATAAAAACCTGGAAACACTGACCAAGTGTTTAAGAAATTGCATACAAAACTACACTCAAGCTCATTATCAATTCAGCAACATACAAAACCCAATTAGCCAACTAACTAATACAAGTATACAAGTTCTTAAAAATCAGAAGCATGACCTAGATGCCTAGCTTGATTCAGATTGCACATTGCAAGATTTCATGGTGGAGCAAAAGCAGTTTTTCGTTGAATTCAATGATAGAATTTGCCAGGTAGCTGAGCAGAACGTTGTTTGAGGGAGGTAAAACTACTTAAGGATGACAGCAGCATTCCTCAGAGCCAGATACCGTTGCACATAATCATTGGGAAGTGACCTGACGAGTTTAAAGACTTCAGCATTGGCATAACGCAATTTGGTCCTTAGATCATAATATCGTGCCTGCATAAAATGGCACAGAAAATTTCTAGTGCATCAGAAAAATCAAACTATGAAGAACCAACTCTAATTTGCATATATATACTCTGATATATATAAATACTACAAATTAATGATGGTTCGAAGCAGGAAGGGATGGGGGGAGTATTGTCAGTAGCTCATGTATCATGTATCACAATTCACAAAAATTGGTTTAAAAATCACACAACACCTATTACTAAAAACATCAATATACATCGGTGAAGAGATCTAGGAGAAAGGTTTAGTTATCTACATAGTATTACACAAAATCTATCAGAGAAGCAGATATTCAACTGTGTTCCACTTCTCTTACCAGGCTTCAAGGTTAGTGAGGCTATTAAAGAGCTATACTTTTCAAAACTTTTGAGCCCCAAAAACAGTAAATGAGAGATGCATTCAGAAGAGTGACATAGAAGTTGTATAGCCTTAGCATGATTTTTTGATCCCTTGAAAGATCGACAAATAGGAACCCTTAGACTTGTGTAAAATGATGAGAGAGCTTCAGCTATATTATATGAGAATATTTCCTTATGTATCGTTATCAAAACTCGCTTCCTATTTCTTGCCCTTATGAACATGATTTGAGATTTATCTCTTCACAACTCAGAGGGATATAGTTAGGCTCAAGAAATAAAAGACTTCATCAAAACAATGATACAACACGGCAACACCATACCTTTTTGATGAGCACAAACAAAAGGTATTGTAAATCGCAATTACCAACCCTAAAACTTAACTATGG